GATCAATGAAGCTATTACCTCCACTGTTCCTTTTAAAGTTTTACTTAGAGATTTACAGATACTTGGTTATAGCTGTTCTTAAATGATTTATCATGAAAACTAAAACTATTAACCACTATTTAATATGCATTAGTTCAATTATACCCAGATGGATTTGTAAAAAGTTCTTTGTATTAGTATTCTATCACACTTATAAAGTAAGAATTAAAGAGATTTATTGTAAAGCAGTGAATACTATTCAATTTCACTGCTACATTCTCTTTTTATCACATTAATATGAATTACACATATTAATGGGTTCAGCAATGACATTTGCATGGGAGCATTACTGTGCTTCATCGTATCTGCATTCCTGTGTCTCTCATAACCTTCTCTGGTAGTTGCTTTGTACTCTCGGGTTGCCTTCCCCCAAACTGCTTAGATTCTAAATTCTACATAAAAGTGAAAAAAATGCTACATTCGTCTTTCTGTCTCTGGATAATTTCCCTGAACCTGGTAACACCTACTTGCTTCCATTTTCTTACAAATGACTTGATTTTGTTCTTCTAAGGTGCTTCTCTGTTGATTTGCACCTAGGATCATGCCATAACATAGCTATGATATCTTATGACTATGTCTTCAAGTACTTACTATTATCCTAACCTAAACAACAAGCACAACATATTTAATCAGATGTTAAACATTCTGGATATTTTATTTCCACACTTAATAAGAAGTAATAATAGCAATTGTTTTTCTTAATATAAATATCTAGAAGAAAAAACTAATTCTTGAAAGAATAGATGGATCATTAGGAATCTGCTGGCTCTGGAAACAAGAAAAATTAATTAAAAATTTTAAAAGATGATTAAAGTCTTTGGGGTACAGGTTAACACTACTAAATTGCATTAATGGTCTGAATTCATGTAACACTTTGAAGCACTATATCATCAGCAATAATATTCAAACCCATTTACAGAACAGTAGGAACACTCGGCAGGCCATGCTTTCATTATCTGATTCACATGTCAGCACAAGCATCCAAATCCCCATTTACAAGAAGAGCTTTGGAGGCCAGAAAGAATCAGTAACTTCCTGGACTTTGTGGTAGATGCACACCTGCAATCCCTATCTTGGGCTGGCAGGTTGCTGGGAGTTCCAAGTTAGCCTAGGCTACAGTATGAGACAAAGGGAGGAAGAAAAGGAGAAACAGGGAGGGAAAAGGAGGGGAGGCGAGGAAAGGGAACCTCCTGAGGCCTGACTGATTCCAAAGGTCTCATCCTCAAAATACTGGAGGTCTGGGTTGAAAACAGTGAAGCGGGAAGCCCATGGCAACATGTTGATGTCTACCTAGCAACACTGTCAATCATTTGTTCTTTGTTAATTTTAAAAAATGTGATTAGAGAAAGAAGAATGTAGCATATGGGTGAAGAAGGACAGAGTGCAAGTCCACAGTGTGAGTAAATCAAGATGGCAACTTCAGGAGGTTACACAGTGTAAGCAAACCAAGATGGTGGCTTCAGAAGGTTACACAGTGTGAGTAAACCAAGATGGCAGCTTCAGGAGATTACACAGCAGCAAAGCTTTGACAATGGGCCCTAGAACTTCAGTGAGCAGTGGACCTGCAGGATGAAGCTAGTCAAGGCAATCACACTCGTGTTTAAGAAATCCTGGTTATATGACCCAAGGTTTCTAGCACAGTAACGACCTATCACTGTATGATAAGACAAGTCATTATTCCAATAGCTAAACTGGACTAACACCAAGTTATTATCCTGAGAAGAAATTGTAGCTGGTGGCTTCAGAGACATTCTCGATGAACATATTAGACAACTCAACTGAACTCCAAAAAGGTGATGGGCAGAGTGATTTATTACCCCTCTAAAGACAACTGTCAAGACTACACAAGAGAGAGGAGGTCTACAGATGACACCTGTCTTCTTCAGAAACTGCTATTAACTGGGGCTGATGAAAAGTTAGGGAATAAAACTTCCAGTTCAGGTTACTTCATAGGGAAATCAAACAGTGCCATGTACATTAATTCAAATTGTACTAGTTACTCAGTATTTGTTGAATTAATATATGCATAGATTCAAATATGCACAAAAGAAAAAAGAAGAAAATTAAGTGACTATTTGGTTAAAAAGACAGGAACTACTCCACTGGTGATTAACATTGTTTAATATTTTAATTTTACTTCAGAAACCAGTGAGTTGCTGCTTAAATATTTTCAAAGATGACTTTAGCCTGTAGGGCTTCACAAAGGTCACATTTCATATATACTTCTATTAATATTTTACTTCAGATTCAATAAAAGTTATGACTCAATTCTATAGATATAGTAACTTCTTTAATTGAACACTTAAAAGTTTAAAAGCTTAAGCTTTATCTGTAAATGATCCAATAAAGTTTCAACTTTTATAATAAAAGTTTCAAATAGTCTTGTTTAAGTGGGGGGGGCAGCGAACGGAGAGAGAAGTAGGAGAAAATGAGGGGGAGGAAAGGAAAACATGTGGGACCAGGAAGATTGAGCCTGGTTAGGAATAGAAGATAGGAAAGATAGAGAGAGAGACAGAGACAGAGAGAGAACATAAAAGAGGGAGCCAATATTGCTTTGAAGATAAAATTGAACACAAAGAAAGGTCGAGAGAACTATAAGACTGCTCCCAACTAACAAGTTGAGCTCCGTGGAAAGGCTATCATAAATGCCCTTCCCGGAGAGTAAGATCAACAACTAACTTTTCTCCATGGAGCCCTCAACTAATGCCTGTTGAAAACAGGATCAAACACCCATACATAAACACTGAGTCAAACTAGAACCCAGATGCAGATGGAGAGGACAAGACCATGCTGCAGAAACACATAGAGACAGCTTACCTGAACAAGGAGGAGCTAAGGGCCACTAGACTGATAGCTGGGAAGCCAGCATGGGACTGACTCAGGCCCCCCTGATTATGGGTCTCAGCCAGAAGGACTGAGCAGTCTAAGAGACCTCAGACAGTGGAGCCAAGATGTATCCCTGGTGCACAAAAGAACTTTGCGAACATATCCCCCATGGAGGGATAACTGCCTTAATCTAGAGACAGGAGAGAAGCCCTACTTCACAGGACCTGTCAGATCTACATGACCCCAACTGGATGGCACTCCCCTACATATGGAATTGGGGTGGGGGGATGGGAGGGGAGGGTGTTTAGAGTGCATGTGAGAGGGCAGAGAGGGTAAAAGGGAGGGAAGGGGGAGGGAGGGCTGGGGGGTAGGGAGAGAGGGAGGGAGAAAGGGAGAGGGAACTGGGATCGACATATATTAATATATTAAACTAAAAAAAAAAATGCTTTGACTCCAAAATTTAAGTTGAAGGACAAGTTACTGGGGAAAAGGATTTGTATTTTTGTTTCCACAGAAAATGAAAAGATGTGGATTCCTTCCAGACTAATGTGGTTTGATCACACCAGACCGCCTGAAACAGAGTACAAGCTGATCCTACATTCAAAACAGCTGGACAAAACAGCCTTACAGACTACAGCCAGGATATCTGAATCTTCTTCAAATCCCCCAAGACAGTGCCCCTTACCAGCAGGAAGTAGTTTAGAAAGAACGACACCCAAATTCCCAAATATTGTGTATAAATGTTTGTTTTCATTTAATTGGACTGTTATATAAAATTAAATAACATTTAAAAAAATCTCCTGTGCAATTGAGAAGCACAGGGAAGAAGCTCCTCTTACATTTTTCTTAATTTAACCTTATGGGTGATTATATATGTATATGTATATATACATATATGATAATATACATATTATCTTAATAATCTTAATAATGAATTACAAGAATGAGGGCAAAGTGACAAAAGGGCAGGGGCAAATAGTCAGCTTCTCTCTGGGGGTTGAAGAGCAATCTGAAATCATGGAATTTTGCTTTGCTTTGTGTCGCGTTACAGCGCCATCTGGTGTTTACTGTGCACAAATGCCATGGATACAAACGTTCCTAATGTCTTCTACAAATGTTCAGAGATGAGGACAAAATGCTATAAGCATATGACTGAGACAATAAAGCTAGATCACATGAGCAGTAGCAAAATATGAAAGCTCAGAGTGAGAAATGAAAGTGTTATTAGAGAAGGAACCATTTAAGTAATTAGAGAAGGAACCATACACCACTGAAAAAAGAACAGAAGAGTGCTTGCCTAGCTTGTACAAGGCTGTGGATCTGTTCAATGTGCTTGACACCTGCAATCCCAGCGCTTGGAAGGCAGAGGTGATGGATCTGAAATTTGTTTGGCTTTTTGTGCTTTTTTTCTCCAGAGACAGGGATTTTTTTCCTGTAACAGCTTTAACTGTTCTGGAACTTGATCTGTAGACCAGGCTGGCCTTGAACTCACAGAGATCCACCTGCCTCTCCTGAGTGCTGGGATTAAAGGCATGTGCCACCACCGCACAGCTGAAAGATCTGAAATTTATGGTCAACCTTGGCTACATATCAACCTCAAGAGCAGCCTGAGTTCTGCGAGAACATATCTTAAAGAAAACAAAACCCCCAAAGAAGCAAATAAAAAAATGACAGTGACAAAACATAAATTACTGAGAGGAAGCTAGATATGATGTCACACCTCCCAATGCTGAGGCAGGAGGATCTAGAGTTCAAGTTCAGCCAAGCCTACAGAGCAAAATCTTGTTTGGAAAAAGGGCTGAGGTTGCAACTCAGTGGCTGCAAATGCGCAGAGTCTTTGCCTAACATGCCAAGGCGAGGGGCGGGAGGTGATAAAAGATTTCCTAAAACCTGTTCAAAATGCAAAATTAAATCAAAGCAGGCAATCAAATAAAACAAGAGTGCATATTTGATTCCTCAAGGAATCTAAGAAGTTCACTCATAACACAAGCCAAATTCTTTAATCCCTACCAAAGGCAGTATAACATTATAACTGACAAGTGATTGTACACATTTGTTATACTACTAGATGACCACCTTGGTTACTTAATATTCTGTAAGAGGCAAGTATCTCTTGCTAATGCTCCATTACTTACACCAGTATAGGCTTTCCTGATATCCTAGGATGTCTTAGCACTTCTGACATTGTCTCTTTTGTTTCTTCCATTCTCTCTTCATCACTGGAATCCACAACAAATATTACTCCATAGGACTCAGCATAATAATTCTTCCAAATTCCCCGAATTCTTTTTCCACCTCCCAAGTCAAAGATGGTGACTTCAAACTTTCCTTGTCTAAGGTCAATTTTAGAAAATCCAACAGTGGGAGCTACGTCTTCAGGATGCTCTATGTCAAACGATACAAAAAAAGAGGAATCTTTAGACTTTAACATGAATGTATCTCTACAACATAAATTATACAAAAAATCGACATGCATATGTCACTACAAAATGGAAAAATCATTAGCTGATGCAATAGACACTAGCTCCAAACACAGTTATATGAAAGAGTGGTTAATAGAGTAAATATCCAAACTAGTATTTTTACTATACATATATATAGGAATTTGTTCTGGTTTGCTTGTTTGTAGTGTTGTTGTTTTTGAAGACGGGGTTTCTCTGTGTAGCACTGGCTGTTCTAGAACTTGCTCTGTAGACCAGGCTGGCCTTGAATTCAGAGACCTGCCTGCTCCTGAGTGCTGAGATTTAAGGCGCTCATGTGCCATCTCCACCTGGCTATTTGTTTTACTATAATCTTAGCAATTAACAAGAAATGGGTACCTAATAATTATATGTTGAACGAATGAATGAGTTCTTGTGCTAGGGTTAATTTCTTTTTCACTCAGCTTTAACCTTTGAACACCACACCACTCAAGGAAAGTCAGGAATACTAAAAAGTAAATAAAGAAATCTGAAGAATCAAAATGGAAGAAGCTGCAAAAATAAGTTCTTTACTAATCAGATAAATTAAAGCTACAACTGAAATAAAGAAATTTTTAAGGGCATGCTGCAAAGAGAGCTCAAATTCACAATGTTTTATATATGCCCCAATACATTAACAATTGGTGGGCTTTGGCAGAACAGTGGACTTTTATATCTGAAGACACCAGGTATAGTGGGCACCTTACCATACCTGCCACGGAGAGCAATGATCATGAGAGATTTAAAGATTCCTGAGAGAAATAGAAGCTTCACTCTAGGAGATGGGGTTAGGCTAAGGCTGGGAGCAAGGTGAGAAATCAAGCAAGTAGCAAGGGACTAAACATTGGCTGGATCAAACTCTCGGCAGGTTTTATTTGGTTTGGTTTTGCTTTTGAGACAAGGTGGCTTCTGTGGCCTAGGCTGGCCTCCAACCTGTGCTTCTCCTGTTTCAGTCTTCCCAGTGCCTTTAAGACAAGTCTGCACTATAATGCCTGGCAAACCCTTCAGTGAATACCAGGGGAAGCAACACTGAACAAGAAGGGCTCTGAAAATAGGAAATGGGGAGCTGGAGGGTCCCTGAGATGTCAGTTATACACTTCAGTGATTAAAGGAGCACTCTATTGACTGAAAACGAGTGATGGGCCATTTCTCAGAGAGCTAAAAAATTTAACACAAAAGATAGAGGAAAAAGCTTATTAAACATTAATAGACCATGCAGATTCAGTGGGCAAGAAAAAGCTTTAGTGCCACGTCTGCCTCTTTCATTCGCTCCTTATCACTAGAATATCCTATAAATCTTTCTCCTTGGGACTTTGCTTAGAACTCTATGGTTCAAGAGTAGAAAGACATGACCAAAGGCTTTTAATTCTTTATATGATATTAAATGGATTATAATTCAATTCCTCAGTTGTACCAGCTATATTTCCAGTTCTCAAAACAAAATGTAGTCAGTGGTCTACCCTACTGCATGGACTCAGTATAAACTATTCCCGTTATTCAGAAATTTCTATTAAATGGCACCGGTTGTTTATAGAGACTGGTTCCTACATTTAACAAAACATTCACTGTGACAAATCTTCGAGAAATGTTCTGGGATTAATTAATTATAGCTGAGAAACAGGCTTGCAAGGTACCATCTCTCTCTCAGGCAGTATCCAAGAAGAGCTTCTGCACTGACAGGAACACTTAGCAGAGCAATTATAAGCCACATGTCTGCTGCTGACTCCTTCATTACTAAAAAGACAAAGGGGTAAGGCTAGACCTAATACAAGTAGCATGATTTTCAGAAACAGGACACACAGGAGCTTAAACAGGGAGCTAGGAATATTTTTTTTTTTAAGTTTGGGAACACGAATGTTTCCACACATGGATTCCCAAGCAGAGGCAGCGACTGAGAGGTGGGTCTAGGCTGGAAAGTGGTGGTCTACTAAATACTTAACAACTTACCTGGAAGTAGAGGGAGAAGGCTAACTAACATGTAGTATATGCCTACTTGCACAGTGTAACTACTCCACTGTGACTGACTGCAAACTAATTCTAGTTACTTGTGGGTGCTCATAAAAATGGCTGCACTCCATCTTGGCACAAGGACAGAGAGTTCAAAAGTGTCCTCAGCAAGTCATAAGACCCAAAGGTCACAGGTGTGGCTACAGTAGGATGTTTGGCTGTCTGATTCTAAATAACAACAGACCTGAATCTGAGGTGTGACCACTCCTGATCCTCAAGGCTAGGGAACAAGAAGTTGGAGCTAAGGTGTGGTTACCGAACCCTTAAAATAAATGAAGAAGAAAAGTCTGTTTATTCCATATACATGTTACTGTGTTCCCCTTTTTGGATAAGGTATATAAGAGTGGTGAAAAATAAACTCTTTGTGGCATTTCAGTATTGACTGATCTGCCTCCTGACCTTTATTCTGTGTCTCAGTCTTTTCTTTATCATCTATAGCTAGCCTTTCCCTCATCCACATTCCCCCACTCAGGTACGGACACGGGGCCGCTCGGCTGGTTCAGGCTGTAGCCCACAAAGACAGCTCCAGACAGTAACTAGGAAGATACCCAAGAAGAGATCTGGGAAGAAACAGCACTGGCTCTTGTTAGGAAGTCTGACTCAATATACGGAAGCAGTAGTGTGGTCCAGAAGATCACTGCTTCTTGTCAGTGCACATGAACTAAAATGATGTATCTGTTTCTGGCTCGTGGTCCTAAAGGAGAGAAGCATGGCCTCCTCTTCTCTCTTACCACTTCCTTGCAGTTCAAATGCATGCTGCAGAGAGCTAACTTTGGCTACACAGGAGAAAGAGAACAGTAGGGATGGCACAGTGACTAGGAAAAAAGAGGTAAACCACTGGGACTGGAATGACATCCTAGTACTAGACTGCTTTTGCAAGGCCAGAGGGAAATAAACTTCAATCTTGATGAGACCCTGTGACTTCAGATTCCTGTTAGACCCATGCTCGATTAACACGATCATTCTGATAGTCAGGGAGATGAACATCCCAGTGAAAAAAGCAATGTTCATGACAGGGAAGATACTTATAGAAGAAGCTATTGAGACCTCACAGATGAAAGACACTGGTGTCTGGACTTGAGTAATAGCAATATAAAGACAGGGTACATCTATCTCAAAACAAACAAAAACCTAGCAGAGGGGGATGAGCCAAGAGTAAGAGCAGAACCAGAAATAGACAAGGAGGTGCCATGGAAAGGATGGCTTAAGAAGGCTTAGCCGGGTGGTAGGGGACATGCATTTAATCCCAGGACTGGGGAGGAATGTTATACAGAGAAACCCTGACATGACCAAACAAGAAGAGGAGAAGGAGGAGAAGGAAGAAGGCTGTCCACTATTCCCCAAGAAGCATGGTATAAAACACTGAGACACCAAAATGAATAAAACTGCCCTCAGGATTAAGAGCCTGGAGAAGTAGACAGACAAACAGCTAAGTACAAGTAGAGTGGGCCCCAAGAGAGAAATGCAACTGAGTATATAAATACTCATGAGGATGGGCACACCTGGAAACAGAGTTTATGAAAGAGGAGACTGCATGGCAAAGATGAGCATTTGTGTAATCCCAGAAATCGAAAGGCTAAGGCAGAGGACTGCTAGTTCAAGGCTAGCTTGAGTTACTCTGTCTCCCCCACTGATCAATGCTGTCAAGATGTCAAAGAGACTACACCTGTTCAAATGTGAAACACAGCAGTAGGGGGACATCAGGAGAGCAAAGCCTAGCCATTGCATAAGTATATTAACAGCACAAAGTAGTACACTATCTCTGTACCATTAACAGGTAATAAAACAACATAAACAAATGACTTTGAAAAATTAGCCCAGAAAGCAAAATATGTTCTACTTACCTCCTTGGATTCCCTTTGCTGTGGCTGTTTTACCAGCGTTATCAAGGCCCACCATCACAAGGGTCACTTTTCTTAAAATAATAAAAATTTAAAATTATTCAGTATGAGGGTGAGGATACAAGAAAATTTATCCATTTCAAGCAATATCTACTATTTACCACACAATCTCTTAGATGCTAGGAACTATGCTAATGAATAAAATACTAGCTCAAAAGCACAATTTATGAATATAACATGACATTATCATCCTATTGTCCTCAACGCAAAAATTATAGAAAACATTCCTAGGCAATAAGGAAAAAAAAGAATGAAAAGGGAGCTAAACAGAGAGATGGTGCCTAACCCTGAGCTACTGATCATTATTTTATTTGGGACTCAACCATCTTACTAGTTGGACCAGGAAATTAAAGCAGATTTATCTGTCTTACAAAGCACATACAGAATTCTTGCTAGGTGTTAGGCTCATCTCTGCATTTAGAGATGCATCAACATACCAAATAAAAATATCAAATACCACATAATAATATGATTACTAGCTGAAGTAGTAACATATTTAGAAAGAAGCGTTCTATTGTTATACAGCATAAAATATTTGTTACTCCATTGAGTAAAAACAGTAACAAAAGTCTAGTTGAGCTTTACAGATGAAGAAATGCAAGCCCATAAATTTAAATAATTTGTCAAAGTTACACAGTGAATCAGCAAGTCCCAACCAGTACCTAATACTAACTTCTAGAACTTCACAAACCCTACTAACCTGGTGATTTAGTACCCTAGCAGGCACTGGCAACTACTACTGTCACCTGCTGGTCAGAATTAAGAATTACACTAAGTGCAATTGCTGTTAAGGCACCTATTCAGGACAATACCCTCAATCTCAGCATGTAGGCCTGTTAGTATCTGGCCGCTGGAACCTTTAAGTCCTAACTCCCTAGTTCTCAGGACTTTGAATAAGCCTTTGAATCCATTAACCCAGCTTAAGTGCATTTCACACTCAGAGGCACAGGTCAACCAACCTTCAGCCACCAGCTCAGGCACTCCAAGGAGGCCAAGAGAAACCCAGACATCACTTGTATTAGTAAAATTCATTTTTCCCTAGCAATGATCCAAAACAGAATTACAATGGCAGACAAGGGTGCTCTTTAAACTCTATGCATGGCTTTCTGGAATGTGCACTTTTATTTTCCCCCTCTCTCAAATTGTAAGTGTATTCAGAGACTACAAAATAAAATAAAAGTCAAAGGTAAATGTGTCAGACATTGCAGAAACACGTCACTGGTCAGGACTAAGGAAGAAAAACCCAGTCTCCCAAAAGTCAAACTAGTCACTTATCAAATAAACAGGGACATGATTCTATACATTAGTCAATCAGTGTTGAGGGATTTAAGATAAACCTACTTATCAGTTATCACTATAATAAACCACAAACACACAAAATTAAAGTCTTCCTTTTTACATTTATATTTTATCTCAAGAAAGAAAATAATAAAAATAACTGAACAGATATAAATTATGTAGTATGTCAGAACACTGTTAAGTACTATGAGGAGAAAAAATAAAATACATAAAGATACAGGAACTGAGATTGGAAGACAGAGCAGTTTCATATAGAATGTTCAAGGCAGGCCTCATGCAGAAGGAAAGACACAAGGAAGGTCTGGCAAAGCTTAGTTACTCATCCTGGCAAGAGACCAGGATGGTGTAAGGACAGTCAATAGAAACTGATGGGAAGACTACAGTGTAAAATTACACTGAGAAAAGGACAGAATGAAAGGACACAAGCCCAGACACTCATCAGAACCCAGATTCCATAAGGCCTGTGGGCTACAACAGGGACTCTGACTTTTACACGGCTAAAAAGAATTTATTCTGCATGTTAGTTTCCCTTGTTACCCGAGAACCTCAGTCTTTTTAAAGTTTTTCAGAGTACCATGGCAAATACATGGAAATCAAAGTTACACCTGACTCAGCAAAGAATAAGAAGGAACTTCGGATCCTGTCCCCACCCAGCACTGAGGAGGTCACTAGCAATGTCAAGGAGATCCTCAGCTGGTGGTGAAGATGTGAAGATGAGGTCATATGTATCAGAAGTTCTTTCTGTGCATAGGAAATTATACAAGCATTGTCAACTGTGAACAGTATGAATTTACCTCCTAAGAAAGCTGGGAGGTCCATGGTATACACGCAAACCTGCAGCCCAAATACTCACACGTATAAAATAAGAAGATAGGTCCACATTTTGTGATTGTTTCTATTGTATTCTAAATAGCATGGATTAATTATAAAGAAGCTAATGAACACTAAGGAATGTCAGCCCTCACAAACTAGAGAGCCTAGCAAAGAAGCCAGAAGACTGGAAGATAATTTCCGTAATGTGAGATAATTACCACAGACAAAAGAGCAGCAGGACCCTGAAGAGAGCCAGAAACAGAGCCCACTCCAGAAGTCTAAGACTGTCTTACAAATGAAGACTGTTGAGGCAGCAGTTTCTAAGAACACTATAGAATTCTTTATAACCCCCTTGAGGGAACCACACCCCTCTCCCACAGCTCAGGGTTTGAACACAGCTTCTAGCTCAGGGAATTATTTAGGGAGGCTCTGGAAACTTGTGGGCCTAACCGGAAGAAGCAAGCTTCAAGGGGCAGGTCTTTGAAGGTATATTATCCCTGGTCTCTTCCTGAGAGAGGGTGTGCATGTTTGAGTGTGTCTGTGTGTGTGTGTGTGTGTGTGTGTGTGTGTATTTAAGATTGTGTAAATTAATTTGTTTATTTTACATGAGTGTTTTTGCCTCCATGCATGTATGTGTACCAAAAGGCCTGAAGAGGTTGCCCGGTCCCTGGAAGTGGACTGACAGATGGTTATGAGCTGCCACATAGCTGTGGGACCCAAACCCCAGTCTCCTTAAGTGCAACAAGTGTGCTTAACTGGACAACAATGTCACCAGACACTTGAATTCTTTTTTCTTTTCTTCCTGCTACATAGGGATATACAGATCTGTCCTTTACTGCGAACTCTCACAGCCATTTATGTTCAAATGCTTGGGACCATGAAACTGTATAAAATCTCTGAAATCATAAGCAAAAATAAATGTTCCTCTTAGATCGTTTTTGTAAGATGTTTGGCAACAGCTAGCTATGAAACAGTGATATTAGCTTCACTAATATAACTGTTTTCAATCAATGCAACCAAGATAACCAACCCCTCCCCCACCCCACCCCCACACACAGGGAGGTCCAGATGTCCACCTCACAAGTATAGATTCTACCAAGTAGACAAACTAACCATCACGCCTATGGACAGTAATCATTTGGGGGAGGGGATGGTGGAAGTCAAATACAGGGCCTTACATATGCTGGGCAAGTACTACCACTGATCTATCTATATTCACGGTGCTGAATAAGGTCCTTTTGCTCAGTCTGTCTCTCTCTCTCAGTATTTGATTTCCTTATTCGAATGTCATCTTTTAAGTTATAAAGGGCCAAATGAGTAAAGTGGAGGGAGACAGAATCTGTGATGTAAGTTACATTACATGGACTATATTAAGAACATAATATTAGCATTCGGAGGATTATTTTTAAAAAGTAGATGAACATGTAAACTGTCATAGTGCCACAGTATGTTAGTATTTGTGTTTTGTCCTTGTCACTGGAGGGGCATTTTTGGGTAGAAATCAGATTTGGGCTGTAAGGAGTAAGGTCTTTCCATCCGCCACTGGTCTTGTCCCTGCCGCAGCGCCAGCCCCAATTAACACACCAAGGCTCTGTATTTGATATAATGCTGTTGGCCAGTTACTTGTTTCTTATCGGCTAGCTCTGTCTTAAGTATTAACCCATGGTACAAAACTGGGCAGTTTTGTACCCTTAACAGCTAATGTTTTTATTGAGCTCTTGCCTGAACAATGACAAGATTGTGTTGCCTGTGCCAGTCTTCGTAGACTCTGTGGGCCTAAGAGTACTGTATACTGTCTTTTCCTGTTTGAAGGGCTATGCATTTGATCACTGATCATAAGGCTAAAAGACAATCTTTCATGTCATTATTGTCGCCACAGCCAAACTGTCCCTGATGACAATTTACTATAAAGCCATAGAAACATGAACTTTTTAATGTGCAGAGTAGTTGCACATTTTTATTACTTCAAAAGGTTGCTTAGACTTTGAGTTTTACATAGGTGTTAACTTCTAAACCCACTTTGTTCTGAAATGATTAATTACCAAACATTGCAGTTATTCATACTGTGATTTTTATTCATACTAACATTTTATTTATTCACAATACCTTTAGTCACAGAAGCTTGTTTTCTAGTACATGGCATAATCTTAAAATTTATAAGCATACTCTTATGTAAAAATAGAAAAAACCCAAAGAGTTTCCAAATGAGGTAGGGGTGTGTGTGTGTGTGTGTGTGTGTGTGTGTGTGTGTGTGTGTGTGTATGTGCTTGTGTGCACTCAGGGGCTCTCTGGTACTATCAGATCTAGGTACAATTGTATCACTAATAGGCAACATAATAAGGTTCAAGGCACTAATTCTAAGATTTTTAAACTGGATGACACCAGACATATTACTGCTCAATTTCACCAGTGAATATAATGCTGACAATGCCCATGTGGGTGGACACGATGAAAATTAAATCAGAATATGCAAATAGTGTGTGCATGACTGTGGCACACAGGAGGTATACTCAATCTGAAGCCATTCTCATGACAGCCCAATGTGCAAGCCTGGGAGCCCACAGCTGGGCCCTGTTCTGAAAGAGGATTAGGTAGTTCCCTGGGCACATGTTGACAGGGTGCTTGCTCTCATGCCTGAAGTCTGAAACTGAAGCGGAGATTTGACCAGGTATTTGTATCATCTAAGCAACAGTGTAATCCATCACAACACATGAAGCAGTCCAGGAAACTCACAAGACACAGGCCAAGGGACAAAGAAGAAGAAAGTACTTTAACTTGGAATGTGGGGGCAGGGTGAAAATGATGGCGTCTATGTGAAGTTTCTGGAGGGGTTATGAAGGGAACAGTATCAAACGCTGTGAAATCCCATAAAATTAAACTGTTTCTCGGTGAGTCACCAGGA